AGGCAAGCAATACAAGATTAATGAATATGATTATTTGTGCGATAAATACATAATATTTAATAATAATATAAGTATGTTAACTTTGCTGTAATAGAATTTATTTGAAAATTGTATTACTTAGTTTATATAAATATTTGCAGGCCTAACGTAGGCAGAATACAGCCTGAACTGTACACCACTATTATATATCTGGTAACACCTGTGTGATATGTGAATAAATCTTTCTTTCTTTCTTTTTTTTTCTTTGTTATACGTACCTATTTTCTACTTTCTAAGTTTTTAGACACCACTGACAAATGGTGAAGGAATGCATCATGAGGAAACTAGAACTTTTTTGCCAAACTTCAGCACAAATGGGTCGGCTCAACCGGAATGATACCACGGCCTCACAGAAAACCAACCGTCGCCGCGAGAGTGAGGTTACCGGAGGCTCAATTATTCCTCCACCCTCTCCCATCAAATCCCCTATCCTTAAATTTCTAATAACCCACAAGGCAAAGCACTTGTAGTAACTCCTTTGGTATCCTGATTATCCATGGGCGGCTTTGATTGCTTACCGTCAGGTAATCCGTCTGCTCGTTTGCCGACATCTTAAATAAAGAAAACTTACAATTTGTAATCATAACTTTGAAATCGCCAATTCGCCTTGAGCAAGAGATGTGGTTAATGCTCTAATCAAATCAAATTTATTCGCAAAAACGTGTATACTTATACATACATATACCTACCAAAGGTGCACGTATGTAGGATGATAAAAAACAAAATAGGTTCACTTTACACATGTTTACCATTTGTCATGGCAAACAAATATTTCGAGCAATAAGACATACTAATACTACTACGCAAAGTTCCAGACTAAATAAGTCAATTTTATCATTAATAATTTCATTCATTATTATCATTAACGTTTTTTTTTTTTTTTATGTGATAGGACGGCAAACGAGCAGACGGATTACCTGATGGTGAGCAATCGGCGTCGCCCATGGACACCCGCAACAAAGAAGGAGTTACGAGTGCGTTGCCGACCTTTTAGGGATTAGGGATTGAGGAGGGATTGGGGAAGGGAAAGGATTGGGCCTCCGGTAACCTCACTCACACGGCGAAACACAACGCAGTGGTTATTTTACGCCGGTTTTCTGTGAGGCCGTGGTATCACTCCACTCACACGTTAAATGCTTATAAATATAAATTAAATTAAATTCGTAGGGAGGTATGTCAGATATTTGCCAATCCCACATGCTAAAATTCCTTGGGCATATAGCACGTATAGTGGTCCAGAGACCCTGGAAAAACACATTTTTTTTACTAGCCTCGCCTGTAATGTCCCACTGCTGGGCAAAGGCCTCCCCATCTCGCTTCCACAACTCCCAATCTTTCGACCGTGTCCACCAGTCTCGACGATAGGCGTCTAGATCGTCACGGCATCTTTTCCGGAGCCTACCCCGCCTGCGGCCTCCATCCTAAGGTGTCCACTGGGTGACAATAGTGGCCCATCTCTCCGGATGCATTCGACTGACGTGTCCGGCCCAGTCCCATTTTAATTTTGCCGCCTTTTGGTCCACGTCAGCGACTCCTGTTCTGGAACGTATCACGGTATTCCGTATGCAATCGGTCCGATTTATGCCTAACAGGCTACGTTCCATTGCCCTTTGGCAAACCCTGATCCTGGATTTCCGACATTCGGTGAGAGACCAAGTTTGCGCATCGTAAGTTAGGACAGGCAAGATACACATGTCGACTAATTTCGCTTGTGTGAAAGGGGAATAGGGGTAATGGATAAAGTAGAGAGTAAAAGACGAAGGGGCCTAGTTCCTGCAAGATGATGTGACCAAACTCAATCTCATCTGCAACTCCGTCTACACGAAGCTATACACACTGCTGCTGATAGGAGTATCTGCAGGAAATTATCCCAGCCTAACCTCAATGCTGACAGAGACTAATGATGGTCACGATCCCCAATCCATGTGGGAATGCCATGGGGCGTTGTGTTTCGCCGTGTGAGTGAGGTTACCAGAGGCCCAGTCCTTCCCCTCCCCCGATATCTCTCCAATCCTTAAATATCCAAAACACTAATTCCTAAAAGGTCGGCAACACACTCGTAACTCCTCCGTTGCAGGTGTCCATGGGCGGCGCTGATTGCTTACCATCAGGTAATCCGTTTGCCGACCTATAACGTAAAAAAATTTGATGATGATGATGATGATGATGATGTATGATCACAGGTCGCAATCCTTAACACAATTAATAAAATAGTCTCAATCAATAAAAGTATAGCACTAAATTACAATTAATCAAATAATTGTATCAAGTAAGAATTCGTTGACACTAAGTCAACACTATAGTTACACTATTTATAACTCAAGAACGGCTGAACCGATTTGGCTGAAAATTCGTAGGGAGGTAGCTAAGAACTCGGAGAAGGACATACATAGGATAGGATAGACTAGGTAGTGTAGGTTAGGTAGAGTATGGTAGATAGAGTAGTGTAAGTAGACTAGGGTAGGTAGTGTAGGGTAGGTAGAGTAGGTTAGGTAGAGTATGGTAGGTAGAGTAGGGTAGGTAGAGTAGAGTAGAGTAGGTAGAGTAGGTTAGGTAGAGCATGGTAAGTAGAGTAGGGTAGGTAGAGTAGGGTAGGTAGAGTAGGGTAGGTAGAGTAGGTTAGGTAGAGTATGGTAAGTAGAGTAGGATAGGTAGAAAAGGTTAGGTAGAGTAGGGTTGGTAGAGTAGGGTAGGTAGAGTAGGGTAGGTAGAGTAGGGTAGGTAGAGTAGGGTAGGTAGAGTAGGGTATGTAGAGTAGGGTAGGTAGAGTAGGGTAGGTAGAGTAGGGTAGGTAGAGTAGGTTAGGTAGAGTATGGTAAGTAGAGTAGGATAGGTAGAGAAGGGTAGGTAGAGTAGGGTAGGTAGAGTAGGGTAGGTAGAGTAGGTTAGGTAGAGTATGGTAAGTAGAGTAGGATAGGTAGAAAAGGTTAGGTAGAGTAGGGTAGGTAGAGTAGGATAGGTAGAGTAGGGTAGGTAGAGTAGGGTAGGTAGAGTAGGGTAGGTAGAGTAGGGTAGGTAGAGTAGGGTAGGTAGAGTAGGGTATGTAGAGTAGGGTAGGTAGAGTAGGGTAGGTAGAGTAGGGTAGGTAGAGTAGGGAAGGTAGAGTAGGGTAGGTAGAGTAGGGTAGGTAGAGTAGGGTAGGTAGAGTAGGGTAGGTAGAGTAGGGCAGGTAGAGTAGGGTAGGTAGAGAAGGATAGTCAAATGATGGGGGCGACGCCGCAGGTTAGAGCTAGTTTTGTAATAAAAAAAGTTTAAGCTTTCGTTTAATATCGTCACCACGAAGCTCAAACCTTCTCTGTATGAGAAGAGGCCTTTGCTCAGCAGTGGGCACTTATAGGCTGGTGTGGTGAAGATAAATAGGTACCAATGTATTAAGTTTTTTTCCATCAATGTGGATAGTACCTATGCAAGTGTTTGGTTTGAAGAGAGCTTAGGATGTGTTTATAGTGATAGCGAAGCGATAATAGCTATATAAACAACATTGAAGTGTGGGAGAGCCATGCTTCGGCACGAATGGGTCGACTCGACCGGAGTGATACCACGGCCTCATAGGAAACCGGTGTGAAACAACCACAGCGTTGTGAATGAGGTTACCGGAGGCCCAATCCCTCCCCCTGTCTGTCCCAATCCTTAAACATCTGAAACCACTACCAAAAGGCCGGCAACGCACTCGTAACTCCTTTGGTGTTGCGGCTGTCAATGGGCGGCGCCGATTGCTTACCATCAGTCAATCTATATGCTCGTTTGCCGACTTATAAAATAAAATAAAAGTTGTTTTAAAATTTAATTATTTCTCATTATCTAATATGTTTAAGTTTTCTTTAGTAAGCCGTAGCTTAAGTATCTCGCTGAAGAAAACTTCAACACATTAGATAAGCACGTCGATTCTATAAAATTTGTTTGATTTTGAATCGTGTTCGAGTGCGAAGTGAGCGTCGAAATGACGGGTAAATTAAATTTTAGAATGCCACTTTTAACGTCATTTCATACTTTATCATTCAAAATGATGCTGCCAATTTAGTTCAACTCGCAAGTGTAGCGCTAGTGTACTACTACTTACGGCGGATTCAGATTCGAAGTTTAGAATGAAGTCTTACAGAATCACACCCAAGGACAACAATTAATTTAAATTTAAACAACTTTTATTAATGTTTAAGTGATTTAAATAGGCAGTTAATCTATAAGTAAAATTTCTTTAATTAACCTAGATTTTTATTATTATGTAACAAATATTTGCATGCTATGTAATGGCTCAACATGCTGAACTTTAATAATTATTTGTTTAAAAAAAAAAACTTTGTTTTATATAATTTTGATCTCATTTCTTGTTATTAGACTTAATATAACGTAGTGTTAAAATTTAATTTAATACTTACATCATTTTAAATTTGTATTTGTATTCATGCTGTTACATTATATTCGCATGCTGTGGCTTCTTATAAGTGGAGAAGCACAAGAAAATATTTTGTTATGTATATTGTCTGGCATTTAAAGTGTTTTCTCTGTTGGAAGTCCAAATAAATAAATAAATAAATAAATAAATTTGTAACATCTTATTCCACCATGTACTAATGCAAATAAAGATTATTATTATAAAGATTATTTTTATTTATGTGAGCAAGCCGTAGCTTAGGTATCTTCATAGAGGAAAATGCCATGGATAATATCTCTATGGGTATCTTTCAGCCGGGGTTGCGGGGTAGGCGCAATGAGGCACCGCGGCCTTGGTCTAAAGCAGGAGAAGGAACGGTGGGGTTTTTAGTCAGTAAGAGTCTGACACTCTCTCTCGCCTTACCCTGGGCGGGAGAAGTCATTTGATGATTTTCCCCTGACAAAAAATAGAGCTTAGGTATATTTATAGCGTAGCTCGCGATACGCTACGGGTCGCATTTCGCAATCCTGCTGGGCCCGAGTAGCGGTCTCCTAAGCTCGTATATAAGCGCCGAAGTTGCATAATCTTAACATTGAGCCCAACACATCGACAGACTCCACACGTACGTACCAATTATATTTTTAATTACTATTTTCTAAGTAAATTTGTTAATTATGTGCATTTTAGTTTCATATGTGAGGATTTAAATTTAAATACTTTTTAAAATAAAAACATTAAAAAACGTAGAAAGCACAAGATCGGGAATCGGAAAATAAATCAAGGAAATCGGAAACGGGAAGCCAGGGCTTATAAAAACAAATTTAACTTTAGAATTAATAAAATAAGTTAGAATTTATGAATTAGCAATACATATGTTGTGTTTGATACTTGTGATTGTGCTGTAGGTATAATAATTGGTTGAAATAAAGAATATTTAATTTATCATAATTTTTTGTCATCAATATTAAATTAATGTTAAAAATAGAACGAACTGTACTTACCTACGTGTTAAAATGTGTTAAAAACTAAACGCATTTTAAATTAGTTTTTAAATAATTAAAAAAATATTATAATAAACAAATGAAAATTTAAAAATAAATTGAAAAATATACTAGTAATTGTGACTAGGTTATAGGTGCTATTTCCAAATGTCCCCTAACACAAACAGAGATAAACCTTGAGAAAATTCGAAAAAAAAAATTGGTCATCCTCTCTTTCCAAGTTTTCACCAATCTTCACTAGACAACTTACCTCCCTGACAAAAAAAAAGTAAAAAATAATGCGGCCCTAAAATAAATAGGTTCTTTTGTTGAAAGGTTAAAACCACTTTTCTTTGCAATTACACGTAATAATATTTTAGATTGGAACAGCCTATTTTTCTAAAAATAATAACTAGAAAATACAGATATTCTATTCATTATGTCGTTTCGTCATATTAATGAATGAAAATACTTAATATATGTGATCTTTTTTCGTTTTGGTTTTTCACAATACTTTCAGAACATAATATACCTTATTCTTTTTTTATAATACAATTGGATTTTTTTGTGGAATCTAAGTAATTATGTTTTGACTAACGAAAACATTGAGTTTATATTGCACACAATAATAGTGAAAAATTTGTGTTCCGTTCACAATAAATTAAACCATTTTTATTGTGGTGTAAAATCATCAAATACGCCATGGGTGAGGCGAGAGGGACTGTCATACTCTTACTGACTAAAACCCATCCCGTCCTGAAAAATAAGCCACAAAAATACGAACTGTGTTTGTGTCAAGTGATCCACATTTTTTATATATTACTGCATTGGAAAGTGTCTAGGTTAGCCTATTGCTTAGTCTAGTATTGGCTGGAAGGATTTTGATTGTAGGTTTTGAGAAAATACCTAAACAAAGATGTTTTTCACGAGTTTTTTTAAAATAAACTTGGTATTTAATTTTAATTATTTTGAAAAAAAACTCGTTCGTTGTATAATTAGTTGTCATTTCGGACCTACGGTACGATAAACTGACAGACAGATTAAACTTATAACACATTCTATTTTCGACTAATAAAAGAAAAACGATATCTTAATCACCAGCCTCTTCTCGCACGGAGAAGGTTCGTATAAGTCTATTAATAGCCAAGCTTGGTTAAGATGAATTGGCGATTGCAAACTTAAATTGTCTGATATTATTTGTCCAGATTTCCTTACGATGTTTTCCTTCACCGTATGTCAATAGTTTCTAAATTAACTTAAAAACTACATATGATTGGAAAACAGTCATATTGATACTTGCCAGATTTTAAATTTGAATACTTATCTATGCATGAGAACCGGGCTACTTGACCCCTTGCAAATACATAGGACAATATGAAAAATCATCATCATCATCATCATCATCAGCCTATAACTGCTCAGCAAAGACCTCTTCTTATAAGAGCAGGTTTGACCATTAATCACCACGTTTGCTCAAAGCAGATTGGTGATTTTCTTCGTTTTCTCACGATGTTTTTCACCGTATAGGTGTATAAATGAAGTAGGTACATATAACTCGGAAATTCAAGTGAATTCTCACCAGGTTTCTAACCCGCCTCCTCATTCACAAGAAGCCTCAATCTTCGGCCACTATAACCTCATATATGAAAAATACATCAACAAAAAAAAAAAACGTAAATTGTTAATTCATCGAAATATAATTTATGGCTTTCACCATACCTTCATCTTTATAAAGTGGAAAGCTCAGATAAATCTCAGTAAATATCTACCTAGATTTCTAGCCAGACTGAAAGCTGGTTTACAATAAGTCTAGACTCACAGTTAGACATAAACAATAGGACATAAATAACTATAAAACTTTATAACCTTAGTAACATATTCTTAAATAACTGTTATTTTACTGCAAGTTGTTTTAAATGCGTCTTTAACTACAGACTTATATTCTATTCATAAAAGATTTTATAAATGTGGAAAATTATAATTCCATTTTACAACGAAACTCCTATTTTGGCAAATGCGCGTGTGACGATTCCATTAACGAATCATAAACTAGAATACAATTCATTTATTTGCAAGAAGCATTTTTCAAAAAATAATTTCAAAAATATACAATTTCACATTCACATCACACCCAGACCCGGAAAAACAATCTGCGGATCACACAAATAGTTATTCCGTGCAGGAATCGAATCCGCAACACGTTGCTCAGCTACCGCAACAACCACAATATGAAGCTTGTATTTAAAAAAAAACAATTTAAGAAAAAAAAGAGACTTTTATTTTCAAAAAAACAAAAAGTAATGCTCTTTTGCCTAAGTGAGTGGATTACAACTTAAAAAAAACCAAATCCTTTTTCTGCTTTTTTAAGTTGTCAAACTGACAAATACATAGGAGTAACCATTAGGAATTAATTAAGTAAGAAAAATAATTAATTTCGGATCTCATTAAACCAAAAATAATTCTATTTTTCCTAATCGGGTTACTTTACAAGTATTTAAAAACAAAACCATTTTTTTCTCTAATGGCAACAAGCAACCTATTCTATTTTCAAATTATTAAACTGACAGTTTATTATTTATTTTTTTAGCTATCATTTTATATAAGACCAGCTTCTGCCTCGCGGTTTGACTCGCAGCTCGGCACCTACAAATCGTAGCGTGATGTTTTATAGCCTAAATTCTTCTACGATAAATGTACTAACAAAAACAAGTAGAATTATTTAATTCGAACCAGTAGTTCTGGAGATTAGTGCGTTCAAACAAACAAACTCTACAGCTTTATCCTAACTTACTAATATTATAAATGCGAAAGTAACTCTGTCTGTCTGTCTTTTCTTCACGCCTAAACTACTGAACCTATTTGTGTGAAATTTGGTACAGACTTAGTTTGGAACTCGAGAAAGGACATAGGATAGTTTTTAAACCAAAAATCTGCAAAAAGTTACTATTCCACGCGAACAAAGTCGCGGGCAATAGCTAGTAATATATGTATATAATTTATTTTGCTATAAAAAGATTACTATAAATAAAAACTAGGAAAATGAATGTGATATAGATTAAATGGTTATAAATTAAATCTAAATCGGATTTCCTATAAAAAGCCATAATTTCTATTTCATTAGCACCACGCTAATGAATAAATTTACATAATTTATTTAAATTTTTAAGATTATGGAAAGTCATCGCTTGTTTTTTTCAACTTTACGTTACATCTTCTGCCTAGTGTCTACAAATGGAATGGTCTTGGTGTTATTCCAGACTATAATCTATATTTAAGTCGAATTTTCATCAAAATCCATTCATTAGTTTTTACTTGAAAGAGTAACAAACATGCAACTATCGATACTTTAAAACTTTCTCGTTTATAATATTAGGATGATCTGTAATCTTTGAGTTTGTCACGGAATTGCTTCTCCAAGTAGACAGTCTATCGTTCTTTTAGTTAAATTTTTGACGGCGAGAAGTCTTTAAAAGTCTTCTCCCGCCAGGACGAGAGAGAGAGAGAGAGAGAGAGAGAGAGAGAGAGAGAGAGAGTATCAGACTCTTACAAAATAAAAGGCATTCCGTTCCTTCCCCAACTCTGGTCTGAGGTATTGTGCTTCAGCGGGGTATCGATAACGCCCTCTTTGACTTTCATCTGTGGTGGTCTTATAGCTCCAGCGCCGTACACCCTGATCTGGTTCTGGTCGGACGAGCTACCCTTGCTCGCCGTCCGCAGATTTGAGTAATTTAACTAAATTAACTAAAATTCGCGGGTTACTCACGTGTAAATGTTGAGAAAAGCTCTACTAGTTTCGAACCACAGAGGGGTTCTTCCTCCTCCAAAGATTACACCCTACATACAAATTTGACAAAGTTTATCTCTTTATAAAATTAGTATAGATTTCATTCAGATCCGTTCAGAAGTTTTACGTGAAAAAGTAACAAAAAAACAAAGTGTGGGAGAGCCATGCTTCGGCACGAATGGGTCGGCTCGACCGGAGTGATACCACGGCCTCACAGAAAACCGGCGTGAAATAACCACGGCGTTGTGTTTCGCCGTGTGAGTGAGGTTACCGGAGGCCCAATCCTTCCCCTCCCCTAATCCCTCCTCAATCCCTAAATCTCTAAAGCTCTCTCACCCGCAACGCACTCGTCACTCCTTCGTTCCGGGTGTCCACGGGTGGCGCTGATTGCTTACCATCTAGGTAATCCGTCTGCTCGTTTACCGACATATTACATAAAAAAAAACATCCACCCGTACTCCTAGGCTCCATTACGACGTATTCCTTCACCGTATGTCAGTGGTATCTAATAGCTTAGAAATTACAATGATATATTACATTATTTATCGACAAATAACGGTTACTTCTAACTTATAACCGCTCTTTATTATAAATTGACACCACGTTTTATCTTAGCTAGCTACTTAATGTCCGACGTATGCAACGTATTTGCTTCCTCAATCTTCGACTCGACAACTGGTTTGAAGACCGGTACATGAATAGGTACTCGCACATGACGAATGGAAGATTCTTGCGTATAATCATAACTGTCGAAGCTTGGATAACTGTTTAACTAGTATTTTTAATAAACAACACTTACTTAATCACCTATTCAACTAACATTTTTAAAATATGAGGGTAGCAATGCTTCGACGCGAATGGCTTGGTTCGACCACGGTCTCACAGAAAATCGGCATGGAACTACCACAGCGTTGTGTTTGTGGCTCGCTGTAGCTCCCCGAACCCCTAAATCCCTAATCCCTAAAAGGTCGGCAACGCACTCGTAATTCCTCCGTTGTGGCGGGTGTCCATGGCCGGTGCTGATTACATACCATCAGGTAATCCGTCTGATCGTTTGCCGTTTGAAAAAAAGCATCACTAGATATGTAGTATAAAACAAAGTCACTTTCTCTGTCCCTATATCCCTATGTATGCTTCAATCTTTAAAATTACGCAACGGGTTTTGGTGCGGTCTGTTTTTTCGATAGGTAAATAGAGTCTATTGGAATTTTAATACTACATTTTTAAGCAGATATCTTTTACTGAATGAGCTGAATTGTTATAAAATACTAATATAGCTTCACTAAGAGGACTGATCGACAGACTGACACTATATCTTCAAAATTTTGTTTGACGTTCAAAAGTGCCAGTAAGGGTCTAATTAGTATAAATGATTTTTGACTTTTTTTGACTTTTATAGCGTGTTTAGTTCCGGGACTTATAAAAGCTCCTTTTTCAAAATTTGCGTTGACACGGCCCAACTAGTAAAATTTAATACTTTTATCCAAATGTCAAAAACGATTTTTTTCTATGAAATTTGTATGAAACACCCACATACCGCCGAAGGGTTTAAAAAAATCAAATCAAATCAAATCAAATTCTTTATTTCAAATAGACCAAAAAAGGCACTTTTGAACGTCAAGCAAAAAAGATATCATAAGGTTTAACTTTATGTGTCAGTCTGTCCGTCTGTCCTCTAGTGAAGCTATTTGCTCGTTCCAAAGTGTAGATTCCTATGGAGAAGAACGAGCAAGAAACTCCATGGTTACTCTTTTTCAATCACTTTTTACAATACATTGTTACATAATTTAGATAGCTCCATTATGTGAGAACAGTGTAACACTAGTGTTTAACCAAAGTATCCGAAAAAGAAATAACCCTCAGGGACAGCAACTTTAGACAGTCTCGAGTTGACCAGTCCCAATAGGCGGCGTCCGTTCACGAACATGACACGTACACCAGCACCGCCCAACTCAACCATATTATAGGGAACCGAGCGGTCCAGTGCCCGTGCCACCGCCAATGAGACTCCTGAGTGAGCATGACAACTCCCAACTGACACAAGTACCAATATACTATAAGTCTATAAGTCTAACTCTATTATAATAAGTTACAGGGCTCTCACATTTACAAAAATCCAGTTTATCAACAATCAACAACATGGTGAATAATTTAATAATTGAGATCAAAATTCCTCTTAACCTTAACAATTTTTATCCTGTGCAGTCAAACCAGCCACCCTCCAAGCATTTTTATCTTCTATATAATCATTTAGTTTGTAGTATGCTTTCCTACATAATACTTTCTTTATACATAATTTAAATTTACTTTCATTAAGATTTTGTATTTCAGTTGGGATTTTGTTATAACATTTAACACATAATCCCATGAACGACTTATGCACTTTTGCTAATCTAAATAAAGGCTGACTTAATCTATTTCTATGTCTAGTAAGATAGTCATGCTTGTCAGATACTTTTACAAATAGCTGTAGGTTTTTCCTAACATACATAATGTTTTCATAAATATATTGACATGGTACGGTCATAATGTTGATCTCCTTAAACTTTTCTCTGAGAGATTCGCGACGACCTAAGTTATAGATAGCTCTGACTGCACGCTTTTGTAAGATAAAGATAGACTCAACGTCGGATGCCTGTCCCCACAACAGAATTCCATACGACATGATGCTGTGGAAGTAGCTAAAGTACACTAGTCTTGCCGTGCCTACGTCGGTTAGCTGACGGATCTTCCAGACAGCATAAGCTGCCGAGCTCAACCGCCCTGCTAGAGATCTAATGTGGGGCCCCCATTGCAGCTTGTCGTCTACAGTAATCCCCAAGAATGTGGTCTCCTTTACAAATTCCAGTTTCTGACCATTTAATAATATATCATCGCATACGTTACTTTTAACATTTGGCAAAATAAATCTAATGCATTTCGTCTTTTTATCATTAAGTACTAAGTTGTTTTTTGTGAACCAATTATGAACTTTCGTTAAGGCATTATTCACTTCGTCATAGTTATTTGATCGTCTATTTAATTTAAAAATCAAGGATGTGTCATCAGCGAATAATACCATATGCGGTTCACTTTGGAATAAATGGGGCAGGTCATTGACATAAACCAAAAATAGGAATGGACCCAATATTGAGCCCTGCGGTACGCCCATAGATACGCTAGCACCCTGGGAGTTTACTCTGTTTACTTGTACTGTAAGAAGTCTTTCTAGAAGGTATGATTTTAATAAATTTAGGGATACCCCCCGAATGCCGTAGTGTTGCAGCTTCAGTAATAGCGTTTCGTGCTCAACACAGTCAAAAGCCTTCGAAAGATCGCAAAATATTCCGATGGCATCCTGTGCTTTTTCCCACGATTTGAAAACTTGTTTTATAAGCGATACTCCTGCGTCCGTAGTGCAACGTCCCTTAGTGAACCCGTATTGTTGGTCATGGAAAATAGAATTCGCGTTAAAGTGACGCAGTATTTGAGTAAGTATCAACTTTTCAAACACTTTACTGAGCACTGGCAAAATAGAGACCGGCCTATAGTTATTGCGTTCTGTGCTATCACCTGATTTAAGTAATGGAACTACTTTACTATGTTTCATTAAATCCGGGAAAACCCCTTGATCTACACTTTTATTAAAAATTAAAGTTAAGTAAGGCGCTATAGTCTCTATAAAAGACCTGCACACTCTAACAGACATTCCCCAGAGATCTTCACTGGACTTTACTTTGATATCTTTAAACGCCTTTATTACTTCCTGGGGGTTCGTATGTTTAAACATAAAATCCACAGGACATTCTTTGACGTTACTTCTGAGAAGCTCGACCGCAAGTGCTGGAGATGATTGCAACGTTTCCGTAGTTTTGATGGGAATATTTTTAAAGAAATTTTCGAATTCCTGGGCAACTAATGAATTTGTACTAGTAAATCCCTTTTCGGTTTTTAAATTAAATTCTGTCTTATTAGATTTGTTTCTACCTGTTTCATTATTAATTATACTCCAGGTAGCTTTTATTTTATTTTCCGCGGTCCGGATTTTACTGCTAATATAGAGTGATTTAGCATGCTTACAAACTAATTTAAATATTTTTGAATATTTGGAGACATGCCTACGAAAAGCCTCACTTTTATTAAATGGTTTCATGCCATATAGCTCAAATAACTTTTCTCTACTTATACGAATGCCTGGTGTAGCCCAGTCACAGAATAAAAATGTACACTGGATATTTTTACGTTTTAAAGGGAACATTTTGTCGAACTGTATTTTTATGATGGATAATAAGTTAGCATAGATCTCACTCGGGCATTCATTGTCTTGTAATGGGCTGCATAATTTATGTTTTAAATTTTTATTTAATGACTCAATTTTTTTGTTTGTTATCTGTCTGAATATAATTTCCTTAGTTGCCACAGTTTTAAAAGTATTAAAGTTGACTGTTAGCCCACTGTGATCAGATGGTAATCTGTTTACAATTTCATTATGTAAATAATCACAGTTACAAAAAATATTATCTATACAAGTTGCCGAGGTGGATGTTACTCGGGTAGGCTCAAGGAATATATTAGACAGATCAAAAGATTTAAAAAGACCTAATAAGTTTGTACAATAAGAGTTGTTTAGTAGTGTTTGTTGAGTAAAACGGTATCCATTTAACAGTTATTCTATCAAACTTACAAACAGAGTTCAATGACCGAGGTAACTGGTTATAGATAGTTTAAGATCACCAACGACATGTTATAAGTTCTTACGGGACCATTCATCAAACACACGATCGTAGTGGCCATAGGTTTCGAAACCTGGCAAGTACCAATGTGATTTTTTCAGAGTTTCCGAGTCATAAAAAAATCAGCCTTGGACTTCAAATCATTAGTCTATAAGTGCCCACTGCTGAGCAATGGCTTTTTCTCACACAGTAAAGGTTTGAGCATTAATCACCACGCTAGCTCAAGACGGATTGGAGACTTCAAATTTGTAATTAGACTAGCGATCTGTCCCGGCTTCGCTCGGGTGCAATGCTGACACGAAAATTTTCTACTATTTAGGTAGTAGGTATAGTTTATTATACACTGGGTACTCTCACGTAGTTTTACCAGCTGCTCGGCTCCTACAGATCGTAACGTGATGTTTTATAGCCTTTAGCCTTCCTCAATAAATGGTCTAATAAACGCAATTTTTCCAACTCAAACCAGTAGGTATTTCCTGAGATTAACGCATTCAAACAAACCAACTCTTCAGCTTTATATTATATGTATATAAGCCTTCCTCTTCAATCACTCTATCTATTAAAAAAACCATATCAAAATCCTATATAAGGTGGGTAACAGCACCGCCCATGGACACCCGCAACATCAGAGAAGTTACGAATGCGTTACTGACCTTTTGGGGGTTAGGGATTAAGAGATTTTAGGACTGGGTGTGGGGAAGGATTGTGCCTCCGGTAACCTCACTCACACGGCGAAACACAACGCTGTGGTATTTTCACGCCTGTTTTCTCTGAGGCCGTAGTATCACTCCGGTGTCCGGTTGTGCCGACTCATTCGTGCCGAAGCTTGGCTCTCCCACACTTAAAATTTTCGTTTTTTTGACATGATTTAATTTCCAATGACTGTATAACTTAAGAACTACTATTATTTGTTCCAGATCAAAAAGATGGCGATAAATCGGTTGCTTCGAGTCTTCCTGTTATGTGTGGTTGGCTACACCAGCGCCTCCGTAGTGGGCGAGACAGAGAACTTTAGAAGTAAGTCATTATTTTACTGCTATTATCTCAAATTAGTTGCGGTCCCGACATTCTCACACAAGACTTTTGACCCAAGACATTATAGATATCATTTGTCAAACAAAATATGTTAAAATTTTTCGTTCTTGCCTTGGTTAAAAGAAAAAGAATAATCTGAGATTGAGTTCGAATCGACCATCTTATCCTTACCTCCAGCTTCAATGAAACAATGAATTTATTTTTGCAAATAGGCCATAAAACGGCATTTTTACACGTCAAATTATATGTGAAAAACTAGATGAAGCTGGCATTTCCTATCTGACTACTCTGAGAAGAAATGCCAAAACAAACTCAGAGGTCAGTCTCTTATCAAGTCCAAAAGTCTCTTTTCAAGTCCAAATTCCCAATCTTCCAAAATTTAAACTCTGTTCACCATCCCAATCCCCAATCCAAACATTTAGGCCCCAATACCCAACCCTCAGTCCCTGATTGCAAACGCCTATCTCATTCTCAATCCGCAGTCTCCAATCCCAATCTCAGTATTTTCCAATCTACATTCAATCTCCAATTCGCTTCTCTTATCGACAATCTCTAATATTAGTAACTTTTCTGATCTTTCTATTTATCTATCCGAGCTATCCAAACGACACTAATTGCTATCAATTATCCACCAGCGGGTCGTCAGTCGCCCCCCAGTATCTTCAACGTTGGCAACGGCGAGCAGTGTCTGGGCAATGACAGGATAACCGGCGGTGTTTGCCTGTCCCGAAACCAGTGCAACACCCAGGGAGGAAAGGCTATTGGATTCTGTGGAGTTTTCGCCACTTGTTGCTCATGTAAGTAGATGATTTGTCCGAAGATTTTACATCCACACTTCATCATTACTATAATCACAGAAGGGGCCCTATAGGGCTGATGTTTAGCCGGGCTAAGCAAGCGCAATGAGACACCGATGCCTCGGCCTAAAGCAGGAGAAGGAACGGATTCGTTTTTAGTCAGTAAGAGTCTGACACTCCTTTCCGCCCAGGGAGAAGTCATTTATGGACTTTTCGCTGACAAAAAAAACATCATCTTCAACCTGTCAACCAACCTGTGTTCAACCCATCGCTGAACAAGGGCTCTTCTTACAAGGAAGGAGCGTTAAACAAGGCGCTTTCTCAAGGCAAATCAAATTTATAATGAGAAATTATAAGTCCAGGTTTCCTGACGATGTTTTCCTTCACCGTATGTCAGTGGTGTCTAAATAGTCATAGAAGTTATTGCAGTTAATGCTTACTTTGTAAGATTGTAAGTTTGTAAATGAATCGATATATTTGCTTCGTAACCCACTTGGCTTTTGTGACAAATTATATGTAATTGAAGTTTAAAATCATGTATGAGCAAGTACAGCTGTTCTCAAACTTATTTATTAGGGGAGCCCTTTTGCAAAACAAAATTTTTGATGGTACCACAAAATAAAAGAAAAATCGTAGTTGTAAAATGAATGATAATTATTATATTGTTTATGATAAACAGAACAAAGGAAAATGTAATGAGATGGCATAAAACTATAATATTCAATAATCAATTGAAGATTAGGTTTGATGGAAGATAAAGCTTTTTTGTGGGAACCCTACTAAGGCTTTGCGGAGTACACTTTGAGTATGGCTGGGAAAAACATCAAATGCTGATTTCAGTTAATACTTCCAGTGTAACAGTGTCTTTAAAAGACCTATAAATTCCATAAATCATAAACGATCTAACTAAAATTTTCTTTCCAGTGAATGCATGTGACGTTCGCACTCAGACGAAGGTGGCAGTATTCATCAACCCTCCTCTGAACCGCGAGTCCTCCGGCTTGGAGTGCTCATACAATGTGGAGATCAACAACAACAACGTCTGCCAAATGAGGATTGACTTTGAAACCTTCAACTTGGCTCCTCCAACTACGGTGAGTGAAATTGACTTAGTTTTACGCCAATATTTCTGCGTTTTTTGTCAGGGGAAAATCATCAAATCACTTCTCCCGCCCAGGGTAAGGCGAGAGAGAGTGTCAGACTCTTACTAACTAAAAACCCCCCGTTTTTTCTCCTGCTCTGGGCCGAGGCCGCGGTGATTCATTGCGCTTAACCCGCAACCGCAGGCCCCGTCTGTAATGGTCTATTGGCTCTTTGAGGCGCGCGCAGAACGCTACGCGCCGTACGTTCAGGTCTGGCTCTGGTCGGGCAGTGAGCTATCCTTACTCGACTTCCGCCCTTACGGTGGCCGGAGATCATCTCTCGATCCCCGACGCCTGGAATGTCGCCTACTGCGAACACTTCTGTCTTGCACAGCCTTCTTTATAATATTACTAAAGAAATGTAGCCAAGAATACGTTGAGTAAAATTTGTTTTTCCATCTCCAGGTGGAACCAGTAGAGAACGTGACCCAACGTCCTGGCTACATCTGTAGAAACGATATCTTCCAAGTGACCAACCTTCAAGCTAACTCCGATTTCCTGCCCCCACTCTGCGGTGACAACAGCGGACAACACTGTGAGTATGGCATATCAAGCTTAAGTGTTATAGCGAAAAAAAAATGGATCAAGGTTATCAGTAGGTATAGTCCTTTGGTCTTTGTAAAATGCCTCCTTATCGGCTCTCAAGACGTCTACGGAAAGATTCTTAAGACAAGGGATGATGTAAAATTAGTTTAGTTTAGTAAAACCTATTCTGGCAATCGATCCTGATAGTTCTTAGTCAAGATTGACATATGCTGCCACTCGATCATCAACAATCTGTTTAACATAGTAACCAGTTTTCTGTCTTAACTATTACGATAATGGTAGTGTAGGTAATGTTGGCGATTACCGCAGAGGCGCATTGAGGGCCGAGTCGTTAGGCGAGGGTCTTAAGCAGCCGAGGACGTTAATCATCAACACATACGTGTATCATACGACATTTTTCAACACGCTTCTGAATAAAATAATACTCAAATAAAAAACTTCATAAGAGAAAACGAGACGAGTTGTGAAAAATGTTTCGTAATGGCGGGAAAAATAATCAGTATTCCAAAGCGCGCGCATCGGCCATAGACTAAAAAAATGATGTTTCTTTTTTTTGAGCTTTTCGCGGATAGCATTTTGGCGCACTCATTCGTGAATGAATGTAGGTAATGAAAAAGTCACAGTTTAATTATACATAGACGTCATTACAGAAGAAATATTATTCTACTACTGCTAAAAACATCAATCATAATTTTCGAAATGTCGACTTACTCACATGAATCCACCGAGAAAACCTCAAAAAAGCAGAAAAGCCAAACCAAAAATATAACCAATCATAATCTTTATAATACTCCACAGTATACGTGAGAGTGAACGCCTCCACCAACAGCAGAGCTATCCGTATTAACTTCAAGATCGCCGACCGAAGCTCCCAGCCCAACTTGCCACAAGCTACCTGGAAGATCAAGGTAACACAGCTCGAGTGCTTCAACACTCTTGGGTAAGTTTCCTTCATTGATGCATTTGTTACTATTTTTAGTATAAAATTGTTGGAAATGAGCCAGGTTTCATCAATAACATTTTGTTTTTATGTGATAGCTCGGCTAACGAGCATACGGATTATCTGATGGTAAGCAATCGGTGCTGCCCAGAGACACTCGCAACGCCAGGAGAGTTAAGATTGCGCTGACGTTCTTTTGGCGATATGTTTTGGAGATTTAGAGATTGGGAAGGGATAGAGTATAAAAAAGAAGGATCGAGCCTTCGGTAAAGTCGAAACATAATGCTATGGTTGTTTCACGCCAGTTTTCTGTGAGACTATGGTATCACTCTGGTTGAGCCGACCCATTCGTGTCAAAGCATGGCTGTCCCAAACTTAGAAGTTTGTTTTTAAAACCAGATAAACGCAGTCACGTCTGCGAGACAGCTAAAGCTACAAATCAAATAATAACAGAGAGTTGTTTAGAACTTTCGTCCTAAAGACCTCGCGAAGAAGAACGAGCAAAAACTTTATAGTTGCCGTGTGTTACTGTACTATCAATGAAATATTATTTTGAGTCCATGCAGTAACTAAGAATAATCTATCTGTTTCATCCATAGCAAATACCGTGACGGTATCTTCGAGTCTTTGACCCAGTCTCTACCCTCAACACCGTTCACATCATCAGCTGACAGAGACGAGTACCTCATTGGTAAGACCCTTCTGCCTTATTCTTTATTATCATCATCATTACTATCTTAATCTTCTTGGCGTTGTCCAAAGTGACTTGGAGTTGGCGCTCTGTCTTCTTCTTTTATTTTCCCCTATCATAAATCCTTTCATTAGTAACCTCTTTTTTATTTTTTTTCTTCATATGAATCTGTACGTCTTTTAAAGGTCATCCTCTGAATGCAATTCACCATAGCTCAGTTGCATAGGATCCCATGGAAATGTATATTCTCATTTCTTCCATAAGATCTCAGACGACAGCGGATCAAAAGCCTTCGATAAGTCGAGGAAACACTTAAAACTGGTGTCTTTCGAATCGTTTAATAGGATTTTTTGTTCTTACATGTACATTATATTATGCATGTATTTTTGGGATTGTGGAACTATACAAAACTCCAAACTTTATTGAGTAGGTAGATAAAGCGGTAAAAGAATGTTTTTCACATGAATTACCGAAGGATCCAAATTTGACTGCATGGTTGGCGCTGTGGCTGGGCCACTGGCTGTCGCGAAACGTGTCGCGGGTCCGATTCCCGCACGGAACAACTCTTTGTGTGATCCGCAAATTGTTGTACCGGGTCTGGGCGTGATGTGTATATGAAATCGTGTGTTTGTAAACGCACCCACGACACAGGAGAAAACATTAGTGTGGGGCAACGTTCTTTTTTTTATCGCTCTATTCATTTCATCTTTATGCTTCTTCATGTGACCTGGTAATCACGAGCCAATGCCTTTCAGCACCTCCTGGCTGTCTCCAGTACTACCCTGATCGCTCTGGAGCCTTTGAATCATTCAACTACAACAGAGGAGCTGGACCATACATTGCTAACCTCATTTACGCCACCTGCTTCAAGAAAACTTCCGATGTTTGTGGTATCAAGTAAGTATTCGATTTTTTATTGCCTTTAAAAGTTTGTAGTAAGAAACTACAAGATGGCGCTATAATGAAATTTTTGATGAGTACGATATTACTTTTTTCAGAATAAATAACGAAACAAGCTCAGAAGTCATAGATTTTTTTACAGTTTAGACAATAAATTAATGTGTTGCTTGTTTACTTTTGACTATCTTTATTTTTTGTTTAAAGAAAGGCGTTGTCGGTTTGCGACCTTATCGCCAGTTAACAAAATCACATTTAGGGCTCATTTTCCAATAGTCAATTAAATGTTTTCTGAGGTATGAAATTGTTGCTGTCACTGTCTTATACAAACATTCTGACGCGACAGCATCATAATTATTCCACAGATAACTTCTATCTAAACCATTGAAAAATCAGCCAATTATATAAAAGCTTAGTCTTATCGAATAATGAAAAAGCCAGAATGGAGTAACACATCTAAGACTTTCCTGCGGCCGAACACATCAAGTCTAGTATTTTATAAACTGAAACTACCGTAAGAACTTCTAAGAGGCTCAACCCAGGAACTATATGTACTCTTGTTTCTTGTTTTCTGCCTCACAATCCTTCTTGTTATTGCTTGCTGCTTTTTTATGTAACAGGTCGGCAAATGAGCAGACGGATTACCTGATGGTAAGCAATCAGCGCTGCCCATGGACACCCGCAACGGAGGAGTTACGAGTGCGTTGCCGACCTTTTAGGAATTAGGGTTTTGGAGATTTTGGGATTGAGAGGGATCGAGTGAGGGGAAGGATTTGGCTTTCGGTAACCTCACTCACACGGTGAAACACAACGCTGTGATTGTTTCACGCCGGTTTCCAGTGAGGCCATGGTATCACTCCGGTCGAGCCGACCCATTTGGCTCTGTGTGTTGTGTTGGCTCACAATCATCGATTCTAATGTCACATTGTCTTCCCAGATTCACATCAGCTAGCTTCAACTTGGCTTACCGCGACGATTCCAATCTTTACACCGACACCGATTGCCAAGTGAACCCAGTGACACGAGGGGCAGCCCAATCTGAAGATTACTTTTTCATTCCTGAAGCTGAAACCGCTGATGGATTGAGAGGATCCAAGTTCTGCGGCAGCAGTGCAGCATCACAAATCATTGCTTGTAAGTTTCATGGATGTTACATTTTTTTCAACATAATGTAACAAGAATATTGATTGTTTAAAATTCAATTAGATCTTTACAGACATTCTGTATGTCAAACAAAGCTTATTGTCCTCTAGTGAAGCTATTGGCTCGTTCTGTAGTTTAGATCCCGATGGAGAAGAACGAGCAAGGAAGAAGAAAAGTAGCTTTACTAGTTTTAAGTTGCAATGGGACTCTTAATTCATGATGATGGTGATTTAGTAAATTATTTCAGATGATAACAGCAGAATTGTTAATGCATTACCAACATTCACATATTCCTAGTAATTAGTAGTATTCTTAGCCATACTGTAACTAATAAAACTGTTATCTCCATCGATCGATCAACAGTGATCGATGGTTATCTCTAACAAAGAAATGAACTGGTAAATTGCAGTTTCTTGCTCGTTTTCTCCATCGGAATCTACACTTTGGAATGAGCAAATAGCTTCACTAGAGGACAGACCGACAGACTGACACACACGTAGTTGAATATTTCGAAAGTGTCAATGGTGGTCTGTTTGACACGAATGTTTTGACTTTGACTTTGACTCAGACAACACGAAGTGAGTCAGTCGTTACTTTAAATTAAATAGGTAGCTAAAATTTATTTTCTCTTTTTGCAGCCACCCCGCCAGGTCCACTCTACGTGTATTTCCACAGTGATAACTTGGTGACCCAAGATATACCCGAAGAAGGATACAGGTTTAACTATAACGTCTTAAATAACTGCTTTTTCGGTAGTAAGTAGTTTTTATAAGTCATTATTAAGTTAAACAAAGACATCGTTGCTCAATTTTAACTTCTGCATAATTGTTATTGTGGCAGTGTATCGATTATAATGGTATGTACGTGCTATTGGTAAAGTCATCAGTGTTGTGAAAAATTGAATATGAGTAAAATTTGTACCTACATAAATTGATGTACAGGTTATGTTTTTTGGCAGTTCAAATTTGGAATCAAACGATTAAACGAAGTTTTGTCTGTGTAGTCAGTTTTTCGAAATTTTACTTTTGAGATTATACCTATTTTTATTTGAACGAAAAGTATGAATCATTTTTTGTTTATGTTTTGTAAACTTTTTTGGTTTTTACTAGGAAGGTTAATGAGTATATTTGAGATTATTATTATAATATCAAGAGTCGCTTTCAAAAGAAAAAACACCTTCAGGTTGTTTTTTAAAAAGAACAACGTGAGAGGTCTTATTTTCGAACACATTCTCCGCTGTCAGTAACGACAGCTGTCAAATATTTCAACATGGCCGTCAAGATGGCGGCTTGAAATCTTAATTTTTTATAGTATTTTCGTTAAAAATAAGTAATTTGACAGCTCTAATTTGTAATAATTTGTCATTTAGATTATTTGATAATATTATTGTTAATACGGATAGCGTTGAATGTGTTAGGTAGCATAAAAAACATGTGTGTTTTGACATATGTAGGCATGTGTATTTATTTATTTTTAAGAAATGGCATGCATTTATTAATAAAATAGAGCATTTAATTCGCATTTATAGAATTAATAAAGACATTTTAAAATTAAACTTTTGTTTTTTTTACGACGAGCTCAGATATCATATTCCGGCAGATGAGAGATGATTGGAACTAGCATCATTGGACAAGTGTTATGAGGAAAGCAAACATAAGTATAACCTGATGGTAAGCAATCGGCGTCGCCCATACGCCCAGTAACAGAGAAGTTGAAGAGTGTTTCTGCCCTTTTCAGCAGAAGGAACAAAGGTTTAGGGTTCCAGTAACCTCACTCACACGATAAAATATAACGCTAGCGTTGTTTCACGCCAATTTTCTCTAAGATCGTGGTATTATTCAGGTCGAGCGGATCCATTCGCGCCTAAGTATTGCTCTCCCCTCCCGACACAACCCAAACATACAACTAAAAAAAACATATCTACCACTACCGCCATCTATGATATTCATATGAAAATTTGCCCACAGGAGCCTTACTTAAAGCGGTGCATACCAGCTGATACTAAATTATTTGAGTTTCGAACACCTACAGAAACACGTTGAAGTATTAAATTCATAGATAGGACGATAGATGGCGTTAAATTTAACATTGTTTTGTTATTGCCTACCAACTGATTTAGTTGTTCATTATTGGCACATTGACGGATTACCTGATAGGTAAGCAATCGGCGCCGTTCATGGACACCCCCAACACCAAAGAAGTTACGAGTGCGTAGCCAGTCTTTTGAAAATGATCGGGAAGGGATTGGGCCTCCGCTAACCTCACTCACACGACGAAACACAACACTCGTACCGAAGCATGGCTCTCCCACACTTACTATACACACTTGATTTATAAATGATATTAATTGAGTTAGTTACACTTGGTAACACTTGATAAAAACAATCTTTGGAACCGCTGGTCGGATTTCCAAAATTCTTTCATTGATAGATAGTTTCAATATTCTTGAGTGCCATAGGCTATTAAACATCACGCTACGATCTATAGGAGCTGAGCTGCGGGTGAAACCGCGCGAGGCCATACTAGCTACTAGTATGGCCTATTCACAAAAATAGATTCATTGTTTTATTGTTAACATGGAACGCGAAAATTTAAAAGTTAGTATGACTGATGAACACGTAAAATTACAATTGACGATTATTTCGTGACTCAAAAATAATGTTTCGACTTTTAAATACAATATAGTACGTATTGTGTTGTAACAAAATGTACAAATACAAAATTATTCGTACATATTATATAATGTTATTTTGTTGAATTGCATTCACACATTGCAATTTAATTTTGGACGGTTGGCGCGGTGGGGTCAACAATTTGGGGGTCAAAGAATTAATTCATCATCATCATCATCAGCATGATTCCTTACACTGCTGGACATAGGCCTCCTCAATTGCACGCCACGACGGTACGCGGTAGAATTGAAGTAGCGACAGAGGGCACGGCAGGTAGTAGAACAGTCACTGCGCCAACCGAGCAGTCAACGTTTCAGACCTCGATCAAATTTTAAGTCACATCATTTATTTTAATTAGATCTTTGACATTATAACATATTTGAAAGTTAAACAAAATAGCAATTATCACTCTATAAGTGCCCACAATTGAGCAAAGGAAAAAAATCAAACCTAAATAAAATGATGTTCAGTTAAATTTGAAATTTAATGATATTCATTCAATACTGGACCTATCTTGTTAAGAGATTTTTGGGTGATATAGTGTAGAGAGGTTTTGAAAATCTGAATTTGTTCATCGATTTTTGATGCTGACTGTACCTGCCAGGTTTCGTATTACACCCACCATCCATGGCTTGATTTAACTTTAGGTATCCTAAATGAAAACCTAACTGTGACATTAATAATAGACTAGATTCTTATCAAGAAGAACTATCAAGAAACTTCACGATTACTCTTTTTCAATCGAAAACATTTTAAGTATAATACAAGCATAGAAATCTTTATTCAAACCACAATCCTGCTTGTACCCAAAAGTCACACAAGCGTGAACAGATGGAACTCTAATACAAGTCTGGCAGGCCCCTTAAGCACTAGGATTGAAAAGAAACCTGATATCTAGAAATGCATATTTTAATCCGAAATTATTACTCTTAGCGGAATCTGTATAGAGTTGTTGAAACCACCTTTTTTAAATGTTTTTTGTAATGTGTTTTGAAAAAGGAACGCTTTGAAAAACTGCTGTTTCCTTAACCAAAGATTTTCTTCTACGTCATAAGTGCGTTTGCAAATATTCAATTTCAAAGCAGCAATTTCATGCCACCATAGATGAGGATTGACGTTCAGCCGAGGTTGCGGGGCTAGCTCAATAAGGTACCGTGGCCTCGGCCTAGAGCAGAAGATCTTCCATCCATCTTCTGACACTCCCGCCCGAATCTAGTCTGAAAAAGTCATTGGATGATTTTCCCCTCACAAAAAGCCCCGGCCTGGTGCAGAAAGAGGAACGAAGTGATTTTAAAACGAAAATAAAAAACAGTAGTTAGTCGATTTGTTTGTTAATAACGGGGATCGAATTAAGCGTGGGAGAGCCATGTTTTGGCCCAAATGAGCCGTCTCGACCAAAATGAGTTAATATGTTAAGTTAGTTAAAGTCGACAACGCACTCGTAACTGATCCGTCATTGCGGGTGTCCATGGGCGGCGCTGATTGCTTACCATCAGGTAATCCGTTTGCTCGTTTGCCGACCTATTACATAAAAAAAAAGATAAGGGTTTGGGAGATTTAGCGATTGGAGGTTAGTGGAGGCCCAATACTTCCCGTATGGTAACCTCACTTATACGGCGAAACACAACGATGTAGTTTATTACCGCCGATTCTCTATGAGACAGTGGCTCTCCCACAATTATATATTGAAAAATTTTACTAGAACTAAAATAATTGAATTATTTTCGTGGGTGGTGTTATCATCTCTATCAGTTACCGCGCCGGTACTCAATGCTACTTGCTACTTACCACTCAGTACGCAATAACACTGGATTTATATGTACCTGTTACGGGAAAACTTGACGAGTTGGGAAATATTGAACTTGACTATGTCTAGGATTAATGTAACAGAGAATCAAGAAAATAGAAGTTGAAGAAAATGCATCGAGGATTTTTTTGATGGATTACCTGATGGTAAGCAATCGGCGCTGCCCATGGACACCCACAACCCCAAAGAAGTTACGAGTGCGTTGCCGACCTTTTGGGGATAGGGGTTGCGGATATAAGGATCTGGAAGGGATAGGGGAAGGAGAGGGATTGGGCCTCCGGTAACCTCACTCACACGGCGAAACACAACGCTGTGGGTTGTTTCACGCCGGTATTCTGCGAGGCCATGGTATCACTCCGATCGAGCCGACCCATTCGTGCCGAAGCTTGGCTCTCTTACACTTCAAGTAAATACGACTAAGTAAATTTAAGAAAAAAAAGTGGTGTTGTTGGCCGGGACGCTACGCGCCATAAGCTCTGGGTCTGGTTCCGGTCGGGCGGCGATTTACCCTTACAATCGCCGTCCACGGACCCGCGCTTACGGTGGCTGGAGATCGTCTCTCGATCCCTCATGCCCGGAGTGTCACCTACTGCGGCAGCTGGGGCGTGAGGAGGAGAATAGCTCCCTCACACGGTCTGCCTACTTCTTTATGAGCATAACTGCTTCTGAAAGAGGAGACGGCTTTCCAGTTCCTCTTGGTACGCACCATAGCCACGACTAAACCCGGGCGCGAGAGTTTGCTTTTGCTGATCACTTCCCCAATTATGTACATATGACATCCTGACCCGGAACAACAATTGACCGGGAACCTAACCCATTATATATTGCTCTCTCGCTAGGTATCAAGCCATCAGCACACATCGGACAATTTTTAAACACTGTATTTTCTGAAGGAAAAAATATATTAATATTTAAACTTTTCAATGCAATTTACCTTTTCACGGTAAAGTTTAAAGTCACATTAGGTAGTTGCCAGGTTTTGGACCTGGCAAGTACCTAATGTGACTTTTTCCGAGTTATATGTTGTTTCTAAGATTATTAAGATACCACAGACATACGGTGAAGGAAAACATCGTAAGGAAACCTGGACTTATAATTTCTAATTACAAGTTTGAAATCGCCAACCCGCATTGAGCAAGCGTGGTGATTAGAGCTCAAACCTTCTCCGTGTGAGAAGTGGCCTTTGCTCAACAGTGAGCACTTATAGGCGATAAATATAATGTCGTCGACGAGAAGTCTGTTTGTTATAGTTTCATAGAAAAGTATCATGTTTGATATTCCATTAAAAGTACCTACTTAAAGAGTTTTTGAGTTGAAAATGCCGTATTTATTCAGCTCAATAATGTAGGTACTTCGGTCCCGACC